CTGCAAAATGCTCATTTAATTAGAAAAAATTACAAAAAAAAGTCAATGGCATACCTGCAGATTATACTTTGTCCGTAATGCTCTGCGGTAACCACAAGCATAACATGCAACAAAGCATCCTGGCAATCCCAAGAGAATGCCATCAGTCAGAAGACAGCAAAGGATATTGGCAAGACCGCACAAAATAAAATGGGTCGTGCACGATCCAATCAATGTTCCAGAGCCCAAAAACTCCGCATTCTTTGCAAACAAGAAACAAGGACAAAAGAGGCCTATGCAACCTGCACAAAGATGTCGAACAATAAGATTTTTTTTGAAGATATTAACATATCTTTTCTAGTAAATTGCTTATAACCATAATGTCATCAATAGCCCCATGATCTTATTTCATAAAACCGCAATTAGATTAATATCTAGATAAGGAAGTAAACACACAATTGAAGTTAGCGAACTGGATGGAAAGAATGACAAGATAATTATGTGCCACATCATGCACCATGCTTGGTAAATTTCAAGCATAGATGAAATGTGTTCTGTACATAGTTCACATAAATCCTACACCCTGTGATGTAGATGTGCTGCATTCCTTCATCAACCACAAATTTACCAATAGACCATAACTTACAAAAGTAACAGAAACAAGCAACAACACATAATATACAGACATCTCCCAACTAATGTTTTGAAAGGTGGTAAGGTGAGGCAGTGAAGCAGAACCAAACTACTTTGCTTCATCCACATTGCACAAATGACAAGAGGCCTCTACTTCAAATTTGATGAGGTGTATGCCTTGGGCCTCAAATTGGTGAGGACGCACCTCATTTATGCAACATTATAGTTGATAAAAAATAAAACATTACAAATATTATTAATCTATAACATTCTCTAAAATTAAACAATACTTGATTATTTATTTGGTTACCTCTCATAATAACTCATGTAACCCCCAAAATCTGTTTGTTTTTCTTATTAACTATATATAATAATACTAATGTCCTAATCTATGTCTCAATATGCTGCATATGAGAATAGCATCTCAATTAATATGTTCACCCATGACAATGTGACAATGGAACCTGGTTCAACCAGCCAATCTACAAACTAAAAATGATAGTTATGATTTTTTTTTTAATTAAAAAATAAAAAATAATATAGAAATTATTAATAAAACAAAAAACCAAACAAAATTTTCAAACTCTTTTATCCATTCTCAGAGTCTCACAAACTTCTTAGGTCCAACAAAAAAGTTGAATATGATGAAAAATGTTCATTTAAAAATTTATAAATTAGATTTTATTGAAAAATAGATTAGAATATATGTAAATTAAGTAAAATTATAATTTTATTTAGGTAGAAAATGCTATAAATGTAACATAAAATTTAATAATGTATATAAAAAAGAATATACATGTAATAAAAAGTAAAAAGTATAAATTAACTATAAAAGAAATAAATCATATGTGAAAATATTTGGATAGTTTTATCAAGGAGAATACTCACCATAATGTAGAGATTTTGAGACTCATTAGATGGTGGGCCATGTAGGTCATAGCAAAAATTCACGCTATGTCCTTCACACCCATAATGGTTACACTTACACACTATACCATGTTCACCAACACCTCTACCCCTAGCAGTACCTCCTCTACCACCTCCATGTCCACCTCTCATTCCACAACCACCACTTCTTATCATACACACCTATGCTACCTCTGATTGCAGCTAAAGCAAACTTCTCAAGCATGGGAGAACTATTAGTTTGTGAATATAAAACTCTTCTACTCTAGAGAAGACTTCTAACAAGGTAGGAATATCACTACTACCCAAAACTTGTGCACAAATTGGTTCATATTCAGATCTCAGTCCTGAGAGAAACCAGGCAACATCCAAATGATCCCTTTGTTCTTGTTGTACCCAAGGTTCAAGGTAGCGATACACCCATGTATTGGCAGAGGCATATCAGTACTAAAAACCATGTGCATTCTATTTTTCTAGTTTTTTTTCAAAAATTGGTTTTTAGGAATGTTTCTACTTTCTAAGTATATTTTTTATTAAAAAAGAGGGTTCGAAACACCTGTAAACAGGTGTATCAGAACCCCAAAGATATGATATGATATGCCCAATATAGGCAGTGATTTAAACCTAGGCGTACAGGCAATGTGCATTTTGGGGCGCCTCGCCCAGGTCCTAGGCGCACCCCTTTCAAAAGGCACACACTTGGTGCACGTACACATGCGCCTGATGCGCCTTGCGCCTCAGCCCAGGTGTGCGCCTTTTTAAAATTTTGCACTTTTTGCCTTTTTTTAGTTATAAAATCATTATTTTTCATGTGAGAAATAAGAATTTCAAACCCTAATATAGACTTGTTCGGGCTTGCCTCGAGGGGCGTGGTACAAAGGCGACTCATAGAATCAAGAATGCAATATGTTTTACATCACATTAGCTACTTGAAGCAATGCAATTAAGGAAAAGAAGAGATTGTAGATTTTACATGCTTGAAAATGCTTTATATGTTTGCTTTTATTTTAAATTTTTCATTTGAATACGCTTTACATGTTATGTCTATGTATTTTAATTTTAGATAATTGGTTTTTTAAAAACATTTATTTTAAAATTTATGTTTATATTTTTTATTAACATTATGTTTAATATTTTTTGAATTTTTGCATCTTTTAAAATTTTTTTGGCTTCTTTTTTAATTTTCTGACTTTTTAATCTTTAGCTTTTTTTGTAGTTTTGTGCCTTTCTTAAAAAGGCGCGCGGCTCGCCTTGTGCCTTGCACCTCAGGCGCAAATTGGCCCTTTGCACCTTGCGCTTTTAAAACACTGGATACGGGGCATATCATATCGAAATTTTCATCCTTGGTTGTACCTTTAGATCAATTGACAATGGCTGGTAGGAATTTAGTTTATTGTGCAAACTCTTGAGACTAGCATAGTACTCTTACACATTCTTGTCCCCTTCTTACAAATGAAAATATTCCTGATAAAGTTGATAAATTCTTGTATCTTGCCCAAAATACAACTGTTTAGCATGACCCCATATCTCTTTAGCAATGTCAAGAAACACCAAATTCACACTAATGTGGGTCCCATGCTATTCCAAAGCCATGTCATGATTTGCACATTTTCTTGCACCCAATCACCATATCTGACGGTTCCAGATTCTGACAGTAGGGCAACTTGTACAGAGAGCATCCATCAGATCACCCAGTCAGGTATACAAACAAAGCAACAGCAAAGAAAAAGGTTTCCAGATTCTGGTTTATCTTTTTTTTTTTCTGATGAATAGGTTTTGGTTTGTCATTCTTAATGTACTTTTTGCCCCTGCCAGTCAGATTTACTTCAATAGACTTTACCCAAAGTATGTAGTTTGCACCATTAAGCTTCAATGAGGTCATCTGTACAGCCACACAATCTGGCTGCAACACCACTCTAGACTTAACTTCACTATCCTATGATGCCATAGCTCAGAAGAATAATTCCAATGTGGCTCTCCAGTAGCTTCCACCAAAAATCAATCACACCAACACAAAAGGAGCACTAAACAGCAATTTTCAATACTTAGAAAGCACAAAAAAAGGTCCTAAAACACTAGCAGCCCGGTTACATCATCATACCAGCTTTATTATCATCACTAGACAAAGCCATGATAGGAGAATCAATGCTGAAAATCACTTAGCACCATAACAGTCTCTTCCAATACCTCCGGTTGCCTCTATGAACCCTTATCTACACAATCAGCCCCTTATACCACAACAAATACCATACTAGAGAACTATCTTTACTCAAAAGTGTGGATACACCCAGAACAACTGCTGATTCCATAAACCCAACCAAAAAATAACCTTTTATCACCTCAGTCTATCAACCAAGCACAAGACATAATAGAGAACACAGAAAAGTAACCTGAGACCAGCATCCAAGTATTCCTCTTCAAACTGCCGACTAGAGGAATCCTAAAACAATACTCAACAACCACTAATCTGCTCAAATTAAGGCATGGAAGCCTCTACTTCTTACTGCAATTAGTTCAGAAGCCTTAGATGTAAACTCCTGTGTATGAAGAAGAGCTTTCTATGTGCAAGACTGAAAGAAAACATAGATCTGTTTAGGCAATTAGTAGTGCTTTGACACCATGTTATCTGCCCCAAAATAGATCACAAAATAATGGAGAATTAAGTAGGAAATCTTGGTCACAGTTCTGAATTTAAACAACTGAAAGCAGAGGAGATCAAACTGTGCTCTTGATCTCAACTGCCACCCAATTTTATTAATCTTATAATAAAATGTAAAACTACAATTAGGACCCTGCTTAAGTAATAAAGAAATAAAAGAAAGTTTACAAATTTAACCCCTGCCAACTCTAATATAAGAAAAGAAATACAACTTTTAACATTTTGTAAAGAAGGAAAGTCATTTGACTTTGGGGAAGCTGTAACATCAAATGAAATCTTAGTCTAATACTGAAAATCCGATCAGATGTTGGAATCTCCAGCATCATTCTTCCCTGTTGTCTCTTCTCCTTTTCTCAAATAAACCTTGTGACCACTCACTCCCAGCTCTCATGCTTCGTATTACCTCTTACCACAATTAAGCAATTTTTCTGATTCTTAAAGGAAATACCTTTTCACCCCTCCTTACCTTTTTTTTTTCTTTTCATTAGTCAAGGGATTAATGCTACTTTTTTGGCCCTTATCCCGAAGAAGTCGGATGCTGGTCACCCTAAAGATTTTAGGCACATCAGTTTGGTGACTAGTATTTATAAGATTATTGCCAAGGTCCTATCTATGAGATTCAAATTTGTGCTCCCGTCCTTAATCAGTCAGTTCTAAGGTGCTTTCCTCCAAGATAGACACTGACCAAATTCTTCTTGCAAATGAGTGTGTGGAAGAGATGAAAAGATTAACCATAAAGGTTCTGTTTGCAAGTTGGACTTGGAGAAAGACTATGATTTGGTGTATTGGAATTTTTTGATTGAGGTGATGAGGATTTGTGGCTTTGGTGATAGATGGTGCAAATGGGTACGGGGATGTTTAAAATCATGTCACTGCTCTGTGTTGGTTAGTGGGGTGGTGAATGATTTTCTTTTTTTTGAGAAAATTTAACCAGAATTTATTAAGAAAAAGGGGGGTGATCAAGGGGGGATATACAAAGCAAGGGGGAAACCCCTACAAGTTACAAAGGAGGAAGCTTGTCGCTATACAAATGCTCCAAATACACACTAAATTTAGCTAGGCCATCTGCAGTATGATTGTGTTCCCTAGGAATCCAAACTAAAT